GTTTATCCTTTTTCCAGTTAACGTTCCTTCACCTGCCGTTTCTCTCTTTTGCAGGCTTGATTAGTCGAGCAATGCCTAACGAGCGCGATAGTCCTCATCTGCACCACATCCGTGGATCCATATCCCAAGGTCAGTATGATCTCAGAAACTCAGCCTCGACTGAACACCTTTAGCTCATACAAGCTCTTGCTCTTATTTCCTTTGTCTTACATTTTTTTCTCTCCCAGGAATCCCGCGGGATGACTGTCAGCGCCGGGAGGTTAAACAGATGAAAAGAGAGGGTTCCCCATCACCCCGTGGCCCTGGTCATCCCACTGACACTCTTAAATCACGTTCTCACGAGAGTATAGTGACCACCGTCAAAGAGGGAGGACGCTCCATCCACCTGATCCCTCCTGAGGGGGTTGTGATAGGCAAGCCTAAGGAGGGCTCAATCACCCAGGTGACTGGCTTTGATTTGTGTTTTCTTGGTATGGTAGGATATCTGACAAATACATTTTTTTGAAGACTGGAGTATTTGAATTTTTTGAAGACTGGAGTATTGATTTCTAAAAAGTAAGCTTTGAATCACAGGACCACATTTGAAAATATATTCAGAAATCCCGAAAGTACTACACTTTTCTTCCCATGTTTATTTCACAGAATATTTAGAGGTTTTGTCTGAAACTGCTGAAAATGCATAAGGGCTATAAATACTGAAATTTACAAAATTATGAGAACTAGGGTACATTTATGTACCTCTACAATAAAATAAAGGTGCCTGACAGAACAAATAAACCAGAGGTTCTAATGACCAAGTTTCTTCTGGATCAAAATCCTTACATTTGCCATACTATTAATTCTTTAATAGGTTGTTCATTAAATACATTCAAAAATATAAAGAAAATCCAAAAGTAACAAGACTTGATAAGATTCAAATGTTGCCTTTACAGTATACATTAAACATCAATACCACTCAACCCTCTGTCAAATTAACCGAATATTCACCAAATGTGTGTTCTACAGGGCACCCCTCTGAAACAAGAGCCTGTTGGCTCATCCAAGCGCCATGATGTGCGGTCCATCATCGCCAGCTCTCCTCGGCCTTACTCTGGAATGTCCTCTCATCTAGAGCTCAGGCCCGAGCACAGAGGGTCTGACAGGACCCGATATGAGGAGGTAGGGTGCAAATCACGACCCAGCGCTGTGGTCAGCACCCCCGGTTCTCTGTCCCGTACTTCTCCATTGGCACTTAGTGGAGAGCAGAGCAGCAGACCCCACCACAGTCCAGTGGGCTATGAAGATCACAAAAGATCCGGCTACCCTCCGCCCTCGCACAGAGCCTCTCCACTGTCCGGCAGAGAAACCTCACAGCGTGCACATGAAGGTATCATGTTCTACAAATCACTGGCTTTCAGGAGCTGGTGGTAGTTTGTATGGTGTTTAAATGTTGTTTCACTGTGTGTGACTTAGGCTCTAGTAAGGCCCAGCAGCAGGAGAGAAAAGCCACTCCCACCCCTCGAGAGGTGAGCTCCACTAAGTCTCCACTGGCAGTTGGTGAGCACACTGCGTCTTTGGCCTACGAGAGGATCCTGCAGGGGCTGGGAACGGATATGTACCGTGGCCAGATACCTCTACCATTTGACCCTGCAACTCTGCCCAGGGGAATCCCGATTGAGCCAGGTATTTGCAGTTTAGCAGCACAAATATTAGGGTGCAAATTGCCATTTTTATGGAATACTTGGAAATATCAGGGAACGTGTGATTTCCATACCAGGAAAATGTTATATATTTTTTTTCTTAAAATGTATAATGATATCAGGGTATTTCCCATTTTATTTATATATATTAAATGTGTTTAAAATTACATATATGCTACCTTTCAAAAGTTTGGGGTCAGTAAAAAAAGTTTTTAATTAGCATACTTATTTAGCAGAGATGCTTTAAGTTGATCAAAAGTGACAGTAAAGACATTTATAATGTTAGAAAAGATTTCTATTTTAAATAAATACTGTTCTTTTCAACTTCATATTTAAAGAATCCTGGAAAAATTAAGCTACACATCTGTTTTCAACATTGATAATAACACGTTTCTTAAGCACCAAATCAGCATACTAGAATGATTTCTGAAATATCTGAAGACTGGAGTATTGATTTCTGAAAATTAAGCTTTGAATCACAGGAATAAACCACATTTTAAAATATATTCAGATAGAAGACAGTTGTTTTAAATTGTATTAATTCACAATATAACTTTTTACTGTATTTTTGAACAGATAAATGCAGCCCTGGTGAACAAATTTGACTTGAACAAACTGACTCCAAACTTATATTTGAAAATAATTGTAGTATATCATGCATTATGTAATGTATTTGTCAGTTGGCTTTGACTTTGTTTCTTGTCTCCACAGCAGCGTATTACCTGCCCCGTCACCTGCCCCCTGGCCCTGGCTACCCTCACCACTACTCACCCTACCTGATCAGAGGTTTCCCTGAAACAGCAGCCCTGGAGAACAGACAAACGCTCTTCAACGACTACATTACCTCCCAGCAGATGCACCAGTGGCCAGCCGCTGCTGCCATGGCTGCCCAGAGACCCGACCTGCTCAGAGGCCTAACACCTCGAGAGCAGTCTCTTAACTTAGCCTACTCACCTACACCCAGAGGTGAGGGGTCCTTATAGGAGCTTTTGTCCTTGACATATTTTAAATCTTATAACGAAATAGAGCACAATTTAAAGGTGGGGTAAGCAATTTCTGGCAGCCAGTGTTGACATTTGAAATCACCAAAACAAACACGCCCCTACCCCAAAAGGGTCTCGCCCCTATTTTTATAGCTCCGCCCCACACATACGTACGCAACCCAGGCAACGATTAGTTCTGTGAAACAAAGCAAAACCAATGTTACACCGTGTCTACACCGGACGCGAGTGGCGCGGCGTGACAAAATACTATAGAACTCATTATAATCAATGATGTGAAACAAAGCAAAACCAATGTTACAAAACCAATGTGTCTACACCGGACGTGAATGGCGCGGCGCGACAAAATACTATAGAACTCGTAATCAGTGATGCTGTCTACACCATAGATATATATACATATCTATGGTCTACACTGGATGCGGCGCGACACGACACGGCACGACAAATCCCCGACAGAAAACTGCTGCTGCGTTCTATTTTTGACGTATTGACACAAATTTCAAATGATTTTCAACGGTCGCTTTGTCGGGTCCAGTGTACTAGACAGACTTTAGCTGTTGCGGCACAGACACGGTGTTTTACTCACCTATCGAGAAGAAACAAAGCAACCTCGGCATCCGATCGCAGGCCTTCCGCTCCTTGAGTTCTCTCCAGCGCTGGAAAGCTGATCCGATATTTACACGGGTCCTACTTCTTGCCTTAAGCCTTCTTTTGTTCCGCAGACGTTTTCCTCTTTTGTTTTTTATCCGCCATCTCTATCTTTCTGTCGCTCAGCTCGGCTAATGTCCATCCTGTGCACTGAATGCTCTCTCCATCATGAGTTGACACACCCCTTACTGCTGATTGGCTACAAGTTTGTTTTGCTAGTCGGCCCGAATCAGTTTTCTAAAGCGTTTTTGAAAAATCGCTTAACCCACCTTTAAGCCATTATTCACTGACAATTGCATGAGAGTTAGTAAACAATGGTATATTTAAAAAAGAAAAATTGAGAACTATTCCAAATAACCTGGTCATGTATCTGAATACAAAAATAAAAACAACATGTTACATACTTATGATAATCTGATGGACGTTAATTTTTTCCGTCCATTTGCAGGAACATCTGCCTCTCCCATGGATCGTATCACATACATCCCAGGAACCTCTCCAGCTTTTCCCAGCGGAGCCTACAACACATCTCCCATCTCACCAGGTACAAAGCAACACGCTCACTCAAACAAACAACATGGTGATTTAAAACAAATTTTCTTTATAAGTGTCATTCACTTTATACCTCTATCTCTCAACAGTGGGAGCCTCTCACATGAGCAAGATCCAAGGCAGTTCGACGTCCTCAGAGAGAGAAAGAGAACGGGAGAGGGAGAGAGAGAGGGAAAGAGAGCGGGATCGTGAGAGAGAGCGAGAGCGGGATCGAGAGAGGGACAGGGAACGAGACCGAGAGCGAGAGCGTGAGAAAGACAGGGACAGAGAAAGAGACAAGTCCCTCGGTCATGGTAACGTGGAACATGCCCCTATATGGAGACCAGGTGAGCGCCCTCACTGCGTTTTACTTTTAATGTGTACAGCCAATTTATGGAACGTCTTTATATTGTCGTCTTTGGGGGCTCTTTTCAGCAAATATTTATAGGATTAATTGTAATTAATTTAGCTAATTGACAGATTTTACAATTAACTTGATAAATCATTAACTGTTTTACAACTGTTATTTTAGAACCATTTATATAGTATTTATCAATGTTTAATTGACTTGTTTTTATATTTTCAGTTTTCTTTCTAATTTTAGTTTGTTTTTTTAGTTTATTTTAGTAATGTACTTTTGTCTTTTTTTATTAGTTTTTGAGGTTTTCAATTTCTATATAGCTTTAATTTAGTTTTATTTCAGTTTTAGTCCTTTTAGTATTTCAACTTTAACATATATTTTTCAGTTTTTCATCTGATATTTTTATATATTTTCATTTTCATATTTCATTTCAGCTTCATTTCAGTTTCCTAAAACACAGATTTACAGCTGCAATTATAATTGGATTCATATTGAGTTGTTCGGTGTCCGTGTACTTTAGCCAATAATCAATATGCAGATCAGCGTTGCTAAATGTCTGAACATTGTGTCCAAACAGGAGCACCAGAACAGGTGGGTGGCAGCAGCAGTTCTCGTCCCCAATCTCATCCATACAGTCACCAGTCGTCTCCGCTCTCCCCTCGTCCCCAGGACAGCCTGCAGCAGAGACCTAGTGTTCTGCACAACACCAGCTCAAAGAGCCTGCCCAATTCTGAGCACAACAGTCCCTCTGTGCTGCGGTGAGTCTCCACTGCTCAAACTGCTGCCTGATGGTAAGGCCAGTGAGATAAACAACAATTTGTTTACCTTTACCTTTCTTCAGGCCACCAGGATCTGCTCGCTACCAGGGCTTCAGTGGGCACCTTCGGTCTGGTCTAGCCAATGAGGGTTACCCATCCGGTACAGACTCAAACGCTAAAGATTCAAATAGAGATGGGGGCAAAAGCCATGGGCGTGGAGGTCTGCCCAAACATCAGGACCTTTCATCCTCTTCCAAGTCTGACCCCAAGCTGGCCAGCCCTGGTGCCGGTGGGTCATACCCCTCTCCGTACAGCCAGGCCCCTGGTGCCCACCTCGGTCTGCCCACAAGTCGAGGGCACCCCTTGCTGGCTTCCGAAAACAACAGCGGCAGCGGTTCCATCCCGTCCCGCGGTGGGGATGGCATCAGCAGCGCGTCAAGTAGGGAAAAGACTCAAAACAAAGTGATGTCCATACAGGAACACGAACTTCGAGCACTCGGTAAGACCACCATGACAGCGGCCAACTTCATAAACGCGATAATCATGCATCAAATTTCTTGTGATGCGGCGATGCCAGAGACTGGTGCGCTCGCGACCAACGGCACCTGTGATGGTAAGACGCTCTGGGACCTTTGGGCTGTTAACGCCACCTTCCCTCCCCTCCCTTTCCCTCCCTGTCATTCCTGTTCTCTACCAATCCACCCAACACCTTTCCATCCCTCCACCCTTCTTCTTCCCCTCCTGCGCCCCTGCCCCATCCCCACCCCCTTACGTCTGTGGCCTAGTGCACGCTTGTGGTGGTTGGCATTGATCAGAATCAACCCGGTTTCCATATTCTTTCGGTTTGGTTATTTTTGTTTTTTTGAATATGCTTCTACCTATTGCTTTTTATATTTTTTTGGCATCTGAAGCATTGCTTAAAGACCACCAAAGGTTTACCTCCCCTCTTGCATCACCTAAACCTATTTGACCGTTTGCCAAATCCAGATTTTGAGGGGAGATTCTGCACGTTTCAGTCCAAACTTCCACAAATGAATGTAGTGAAGCTCATTAAATGATTTGAGCTTCTGCTCTGTAATGGCCACAGGCGTATATCTTAGTGGACTGATAATTCACTCTACGCCCTAACGGTTCAGAATGACGTGTCTGGAGACAAGCTTTTCTAGACCACAGAGAGATCCTGAGGTGAACTTTAAGAGCTCAGTCATTCAACAGTCATGTGGTTGCTCATCGTTTCATAATGTCTTTATCGGCTTGCCTCTTGTGTTCCCCCTTTACCTCTTTTTTTTTTTTTAATTTGGGGAACGTTCCATAGATCTACATGTTTGCTTCCTGTTTCATTTCCTGTTTTGGAGGGAGGGCACTTTGGCACTTTGACAGTTTGATAGCTGCATGAAGCAAGCAAATTTGACAAATTATAGATAAAGAGGGTCAAGATGGATCTGGAGCTGAATGATTTTCAAGGTGTTTGGTTCTTAATGGTTGTTGAATATCTGGATTCTTCCACCATCTAATTGAATCTACAGTAGGGCTGCACGATAAATCGCATGCGATATTTAACGCGCATCTTGTCAGAAAAGCCGGTTCTGTACTCAGCGGTAAATCTCCATCACGTGCGTGCTTTCACGTTGAGCAGCATTAACTACACAGAGCCGTTGTTCTCTGACGAGCTGCGCAAAACCACGTTCATATTCGCGCGATTTTTTGCGCAGCTCGTCAGTGAACAACGGCGAACATTCCTAGTTTGGAACAACACAAGGGTGAGTAATTAATGACAGAATTTTCATTTTTGGGTGAACTAAC